AGTAGAGGCAAAGTTATGCCACATCAAGTAGCCATTTCTCAACTTATGCCACATCACAACACAATAGCCGAGCATCAAGTAGCAACTTCTAAACTTATGCACAGCAATTTCCAAATTCCCACAAAAATAAAAAGCAGCTTCCATGAAAGAAAGCAACTTCCATGAAAGAATGACCATTATAATAATCAACCTTTTTTCATTTTCCAGAAACATACTATTTACAAATCAGCCACCCTCCATTCTAGTTGAAACTTGAAAGTTATTAACTATGTACTCAGAGCATGAACAAAGTTAAGAAGCAGCCGTCCAAGAATATCGAGCATCAAAACAAGAATACCAATCAATCGAACCAACACTACCGAGAAAGAGAAGAAGAGATCAGATTTTTTAAAGTTTTCAACAACCCTTATATCAGATCGCATCCATAAAAAACCAGATCTAAATTCAATATGCGATATTTCACTGCCAAAATCCTAAAAGACTGGGTTTCACTCAATAAATCTAAGTAAACCTAAGAGAAATTTAAGAAAAGTTAAGGTAAGAGGTACCTCTGTAAGTAAACAAACAACCAAGCAAGAATATCGAGCACCAAAACAAGAAACCCGAACAGTCGAGCCAACGCTGACTATCCGTGGAGCAATAGATGTAAATATTAACAAAAGAAGAAGAAACCAGAGAGCCTTCCACGATTTTGAGAGGATCAACAACTTCCATAAAAGAATGCAGCTTCCATGAAAGAATGACCATTATAATAATCAGTCTTTTTTCATTTTCCAGAAACATACTATTTACAAATCAGCCACCCTCCATTTTAGTTGAAATTTGAAAGTTATTAACTATGTACTCAGAGCATGAACAAAGTTAAGAAGCAGCCGTCCAAGAATATCGAGCATCAAAACAAGAATACCAATCAATAGAACCAACACTACCGAGAAAGAGAAGTAGAGATCAGATTTTTTAAAGTTTTCAACAACCCTTATATCAGATCGCATCCATAAGAAACCAGATCTAAATTCAATATGCAAGATTTCACTGCCAAAACCTTAAAAGACTGGGTTTCACTCAATAAATCTAAGTAAACCTAAGAGAAATTTAAGAAAAGTTAAGGTAAGAGGTACCTCTGTAAGTAAACAAACAACCAAGCAAGAATATCGAGCAACCAAGCAAGAAAACCGAACAGTCGAGCCAACGCTGACTATCCGAGGAGAAATAGATGTAAATATTAGCAGAAGAAGAATAAACCAGAGAGCCTTCCGCGATTTTGAGAGGATCAGAGGAGGAGACTTCCACAATTTTGAGAGGAGGAGCGATTTTGAGACGAGGAGCTCGGGAGCGAAAGACAGCCGCACCCCAAAACTTTCGAGACGGGAATGGGAGCGGATTGTTAGGGTTTTAAGGAACACGAGCGAACAAACTTTTGTTCGTGTTCAGCTCGTTTACATTTCGAGCTTGAAAATTTGTTCGTGTTCGGCTCGTTAGGCTTAACGAACGAGCCGAACACGAGCTGCTTAACGAGCCGAACACGAGCTGTTCGCGAACAACGAGCTAAATTGACAGCCCTATATGCAATTAGAATGGGGTGGCATGCTTTTACATGCCTTATTTTTTTATATTTTTTTAAAGTAAAATTAAATGACTTTAATTTATTTATAAAAAAATAATGAATGAATTTCTTATAAAGTAATAATAACATAATAAATATTTGGAAGTTGATATAAAATAAAAAAAGGAAGTTTATTACAAAAGGTGAAATAAATATTCTTACATATAACAAATATAAATTCAAAAAAAAAAATTCAAGTACATTTCCTCCTTATTATAATTAAATTATTTTTTAATTTCTTTAAAACAAAAAATTAAATATTTTTAATTTTTTATTTTATGAAATTAAATTTTTCCAACGACGGTTCAACACCGCACACGAAGCTTTCAAATCTGTTACATTTTAACGTACAAAAAATAAACAGATAATCAGTTTTATGATATTTATATGAGTCTTTATGATATAAACACTTTTCAAATTTTATTATTTTATCTTTAATATTTTATTTTAAATTTATGTTAGAATTAAAATTTATCAGTATAAACATTTTCAAGTGTAAATACTAATGTTATCTTTAATAATTTAATTTTAAATTGAAAAAAATTTAATTTTTAAATAAATTTTAAATTAACATATATATTAATTATAATTCGTGATTTTAATTTTTCTATAAAAATAAATATTTGTAAGAGAATAAATTTTTCTATAGAAGTAA